CTAAGTTTCATCACTCTCCATCAGTTAGAATCAAAGTTATCTTGTCCCAAATCATCAACATATGAAATTGCTTAGCTTTAGCGAGAAATGTTAATCATTGAACTCAGTCAAGACATTCACCTAATGAACATCAAGTTTAAACATTCTACCTCAATTATTGACCAATCAAATTGCTTATCTCTACTTAGCCTAAGCAGAAAATTCTCATCATCGAATGTAGTCAAGGTATTGCTATAATGTATGTCATCTTCATTAGACCAGTCGGAGCAGAACAGCAGGGAGTTAAACCCCATTTCATTTCATTTCGATATAATGAATCTATACTTGAAATTTCATCGCTCTCACACAATTAGAACCCAAGTTATCATATGTTCCAAAGTCTCTGCTTAGTGGAAAATGCACATTATCGAAATTTGTCAAGGCATTCACGTAATAGACACCTACACCAAGTTTGAACATTCTACCTCAATTAGAAGGATTGTTATTTTCTTCCAAAGTCTCAACCAATCAGATTTGAAGTCTCTACTTAGCCTAAGCAGAAAATACTCAGCATCACACTTTAAGGTATTGATGTAATGAAACTATACACAACGTTTCACTACATTCACTGAATTAGAATCAAAGTTGTCGAGCTCCAATTAAGTCTCGACCAATCAAATTGCTTATTGCTCTGCTTACCCGAAAATGCTCATTATCGAACTTAGTCAAGGTACTGATGTGATATACACAATGTTTTATCACTATCACTTAATTAGAACCAAAGTTATCGTGTCCCTAAGCATTAAGCAATCAAATTGTTTATCTCTGCTTACTCTAAGCAGAAAATGATCATCTTCGAATTCCATCAAGGCATTCGTATAATAAACACATACACCAAGATTGAACATTCTTGCTCAATTAGAAGGAGAGTTATCATGTCCCGAAAAGGGTAACGGACAGACAGACAGACCCAAGGATTATAAACCATCGATGTTGCAATGTTTTAATAATAATTTCTTCTATTATAGTAAAATAACATTCGAAGCACTAAAATTAAGTACATTGTATCACATAAATATATTGAACCTGCTTCTTGTTCTCTATATATGTAAGTGATTTAACCAACAGAAAGTTTATAATTAAATCAGAATGCTTGAATTTGGAATTTAAGACTGTCTTTACATGTACTTTGAGATTTACCAGACACTCATTTAATAATTGACCACACTAAAATAAACACAAAATTACAAGTACTGTCTTTTTTTATCGTAGTTTCAACAATGATTCTTTTGTTGTTTTCAAGCAAAATAACGATAGAGTTAGAAAGAATCCTATACCAGTATATGATTGTACATAATTTGTTCTTTCTGGCTGTATCAGTATTCCGCATGAAAACGACATAAAGATACATTATGGGAGATAAGATAAAGAGCTGGCACTTCTCACTATAATACATGTAGTTAAAAATTAGATAATGTAACGACAATTTGCTAAAAATTTCAGTCAAATTGATACACTATGAACCGAGAATTAAGTGATTGAAATTTCGGCCTAGCCTCGATCATCATTACTAAAGTCTGTACGATAAAAAAAATAGTCTCGATCATCCATTTCATGATTAAATTATGAATGGAAGTCGAGCAACAAATGGGATCATAACCCAGTAAATATCGCAGGCTAGCGATGCCATCGAGAGTTGATTATGGTCTGGATAAGTTAATTAATGTCTAATTAATAAATTAGATAACATTTCAGGTCTAAAGAAAGACCTGCAATTGGCAGATTTAGCTCTTGCGTATGTTTAATTATTATTAGTACTAGTAGCCTTGATTAAAAATAAATTACATTTTTTCCACAGAACTGATGTATTTATTTTAGTGTAAAAAATGTTTTAAGACAATATAAAGGTAAATGTATAGTTAGGAATCCCTTCATTTCAACATATGTACTAGTTTACACTCCGAAAATTAAATTCCTTCATTGGTATAGTAAAACATGATTATTCTTTGAAACATGTTGACCAGCTTTTTAAAGTTTAACCTAGGATCAGAAACTTTTCGAAAATCAAAAGAAGTCATTAATCCCTGGCCACATCAGTGCATGTTTTGAGATTATTTATTTTTCAAGTATGTTTAAGACAACAAATGGATAACAAACTCCTTTATAAACAGGACAATTATATACATAATATCACCTATGGTATATTATTAGTTTATTTTGAACAATTAAAATCACAATACACACATGTACACATACAGTGTTAATAAAGACATTTGTAAACAACCTTATCTTCTCTTATTATCTATCTTATTATACATGTATACAGGGCTTTTCTATAGAAATATTTTACAATCATTAGGTTTCAAAATCGAACTCCATTTTGGTCATGCTGCTGGTATATACAGTACATATATGTACATGTATATGTGACCTGAAATCTATTTTGTTTCTTTTTAATCTATAAAATAAAATTTACCCACACATATCACATAAACATTGAAATCAATATCTATATATAATATATGTATATATACATGTATATACATCACTTGTCTGTAATGTTATGTACATGTACAACCAGCAAATAAGCACAATCTCTCATGTTAATACATGTAGTATTTATTTCTAATTATACATACTGTACATATACACAAGACTGGTGTTTAGTTCAAGTAAATTTCCAAGTACATATATACATATTGTTGGGTTTTCTTCATGGCTAACTTACATGTACACCTTGATGATGTTTGTTTAACTTAATTATTAGTAGTGTCCATATTATGAAATTATTGATACACATGAAGAATAAACAAATGCACTAGAAATGAAATAGACATCATACTCTTAGACATGATCTCATACACTGTAGCTATAACTAATCTTTCCTGGACATTTTACACACTTTTATTGCCACATCCATTTAATGAAGTCTGCAAGCACGAATCATAACAATGTGTAGCAATATAAACAGAGGAGCCATCACTTCTGATGACATCAAAGATCGACTTTGACTAAATTTTTCACACAATAGAAATTTGAAGACAAATAACAACATTATGCTTAATACGGAAGTTAATAGTCGAAGTCCACCAACTCTCACATCTATTTCCTGATACATTCGTATAAATACTATAACACAGAAATAAGCGTTTAATCCATCACAGGCAAATAAAGGAATAAATATAATCCACCAGGATTGATTTAGAAATCCTTCATATTTTAATACAGCTAAGACAGAAAATATGAAAACAGCCACCATGTGAAGCCATAGTTCAAATCCAGTCATACGAAGCCAGCGTACAAGTTCTTTTAATGTAAAAAACATGACTGTGACTGAAAGGTTTACACAATACAACACCAGTACTGATGAAATGTATGAACTTGTGGTGGTAACATTATATTACTTGGTATTATTAATTGAACATTACTACAGTGAACATGTACCATAAACTGTAAATCTGAAAAATAAAAGAGTATACATGTATCGTATGAAACATTTGCTCTCAAAATGTCTGGTATGTTAACAATATGGTAGGTAGATTCTTATTTGGATAATTTGTTGTACTGCACAGCCAGCTAGACGATTTACCCAATACTAACTAAATACTATCAAATACATGTACCAACACTTACTACCTCATTATTGTGAAAAAGTAACAGAATAGAGGCGATAGTTTGTCCTATCATCACAAGCACTTAATAGTTTACAAAGATCAAGTATCTACTGCTACAGCTAGCAAGCATGATATGGTTGTACTTTTGTAGATATCGTAATGAACGATGGCCAGTGCGTGATCAGGGTCAAAAGGAACATTGACATGTAGGGCAAACTGTATAACAATTAGGCTGAAAATAAATCGGGTTATTTTAAACATACATTATGTGAGCGCTAAATCTGCCCATTTCAAATCTTTATTGTAGCTTCAGATGTAATAGAAATTATTAATTAGACCATTATTTACATGACAAGCTCAAAATCAAATCTGTAGACCCTTGGATGGCTTGGATTTAAACAGTCGTCCATTTAAAATTAAATCAAGAAATGGCCGACCAAGCGAACGTTTTCTGTTAGTCACTAACGTCAAAACCGGAAACTGGTGATGAAAGGCCTACCAAGCGAGGGTATCATAGACATTGAGAATGTTACTTGATTATCGAGAATATGTGGGTGGAGTTATCGTCTGTCAATCAAACGATCGGCAATTTGCGTAGACAGTGCTGATTAATTTTTAGTCCAAAATTTCAACAGTGACAACTCCGTTCAGAATAAAGTAATTTGACTGAAATTTTCAATATTTTCTTTTTTTACAATCTATTTTTGAATTATTATAGCAAGAATGGCCAACTCTTTATTAAACTCTTAAAAATGTATCTTTAAATTAATACTTTGAATTGAACTGTACATAAACCATTACATGTATGTGATCATTCATTGTGATGGTTTTATTTTATACGTAAAATTAAACAAAATTACCACACACATGACATGACAAGAAACCAAACAAGTGACTGACAAGTCAGACAAAGTCTAATGAAACATGAAAGGCAAGTCATGGACCTTATATTATATATATAATACCGGTACATGTAATAGTCCATGGCATGGAGTTCAAAGATTGAAAATTGCATTTTTTCTTTAGATTTAGATCAATTCAACAATAAAAATGGAAACCAACAAAATTTCAGAACATCAACGAAAATTGACAATATGATAGACTCTTATCTGCCAAAAAATGGTTTCAATTTTTAATATACCATTAACAGAACACACGGAATACCTAATTTAAGTAAACTCCCCGAAAAGAATTTTGTTAGTCCGCCATCTTACTTCCGGTTGCTTCTTCGGGCCAGTTTACACATGTTTCCGTACCTTACTACGACAGAAATCACCATTTTATTTACTTTTTGAATTCTTAAAATAAATAAAGTTGTAAATATGTTTTAAATATGTTATAAGATATTTGCGCCTATGCGTAAATTACTCAACCAAAAATTTTACGAAACTATCAGTAACAAAGCCCCCAAGGTCAAGGTTGAATTTCTACTTTTAGTTTGTTGATCACATGTTGCAAAAATAATAGATTCACTGTTTTTCATGGTAAAGTGTCAAAATAGCATATCCTAATAATGATCTAGTTAGGTATTTGTTAAAGGAAACATTTCACCTCTGTAGAAATTGCAAAATATATATATTTTTTTTTTACCAAACATAGTTCCAAATATTGAAATAATGACTGATACCGGTACTGATGAAAGAAGGTTGTTGGTTCTATATGGAAGCCAAACTGGAACAGCTCAAGATGTTGCAGAAAGGATAAACAGAGAAGCCAAAAGAAGACATTTTTCTTCCAAAGTTATGGCATTAGATTCTTTTCCAGTGGTAATATGATCATTTTTTGTTGATAACTGTCATTTTTTTAAGAACTGTTTGGCAAATAGGGCCTATGCAAAAAGTATACTTAATATATTAATTTGTTCCTACGGTCGTACCAAGTGGTTACAGCGAATATCCTCCCACTGACACAATACTAATATTCACCATCTGATTTAATCAATAATCCTAACTTTCTATTATTTATTATTATCGAAAACACAGACCCAGAATCCATTTTAACTATTATTAGCAAGACCTAGTAGTACATAGCCGACATAGGGTCTACACATGTACATCCAACCAAAGACCATTACCACTATTCCAATCCCAGTTATATGACATTGAGCACTATCATATTGGCTGGTGTATATTGCCGCCAGTATTTCTTATTTGCTATTCATTTTTATTTCAAATTTTTTATCCATATTCCATATTTTGAATAAATATTTTTTGTCTTATATTTCACATATTTTAATTTTTTATCTACCAAGTACTTAATTATATATGTATCAAATATCTGCAACTTTTTTCTTGTAAGTCACCGGTATCAATTTGACTATTATTACTAATCTTATATCTTCAGAACTGAATTTAATAGAAAGCTCTTAAAATAGGGTACCTTTAATTAGTTGTTGTGTTATTAATTTATGCGTCCTGGTTATTGTTGTGTTCATTTGTTGCTCGATTGAACATTTATTTTGTCCTTTGGAATATCATTATTATTTGCATCAGCTTATGTTTAAGGTACATGTAGATAAAGTTGGAATTTTGTTTTTTAAGGGTGATTTATTGAAGGAACAGATGGTGGTGTTTGTTTGTGCTACAACAGGACAAGGTGATCCACCAGATAATATGAAGGTAAAATTAAACAAGATGAACATGGTTTTTTACAAAATGAAACTTTTGTCTTTACAATAAGCAAAATTTATGTTCTAATAAAAAGATTTGGATGTAAGAAAATTACCTCCTATATATTAAGGTGATCTACTGGTCAATTGGTTTTTAATACATCTGAGTTGAAGGTTTTCAGCCTGTTTATAATTTTTAATTTGGAAGCTTGCTGGTTGTTATGTCCTTACATAATATATATTTGTAGCCACAGCACAGCAATTAATTAACAGGGAACTATGTCAGCTTGTGTATTGTATATATTGATGCATATATCTGTGCGCTTAATGATTTATCACATTTTTGTAGATTTAAAGTTTATGTTTCATATTTTCAGTTATTCTGGCGTTTTATTTTAAGGAAGAATCTTCCAGAAAATTCATTAAGTCATCTTTTATATGGTGTTTTAGGACTTGGAGATTCATCCTATCAAAAGTTTGTAAAATCTGTTTTATCTTTTATAAATTAAAAACTTATTCGTAGGACATAGTTTGTGAATGAAGTATATTTATTGCATTACTATGTGTGGAATTGATATGACCTCTTAAACCAAAAAACAAAACAAATATTTTCTTAAGAAAATGCATTCAGTTCAAACCAAACTAGTGTTGTTCACATCAGCCTAGACAAAACCTATTCAGCTTCATTATAAGTACAATTATATTCCGTAATTTCAGTTATTCTAATTCACATAGAAACTGGATGAAGGTTTACCCGGGTCTCACTATAATGAGAAATGTGAAAGCGGACGTCCTTGTAGTGGTCTCAAATAGTGATTAGCAACTGTTTGCATCTGTCATTCAAAAGGATTAATTTTGCACAGCCCAGACTTTCAGTATATCTATTATATTTCTGAAAAGTGAGACTTGCATCTTCTACCTAGTGCTATGTTCCCACTGTCCTGTGATGCGTTACGATTGGATTGTCCCTATTGAGTCCACGATTCAGTACATGCAGATACGTTGGATACATTTCGATACGACCAACACGATTACTATGACTGACCTCAACATATGATAAGTTCTGATAGGATCACCTCAATTATTCCACAATTAAAACCACGATTTCAATCGTGATAGTGGAAATCTACCATAACAAATTCCCATTATAATGTATACAAAACACCAATCTCTACTTTAAATTCCCATTATAATGTAGTTTTGAAAAAAAAAGAAATGGAGCTTATATAAACTACCTCAATAGTACCACTCTCTACTTCAAATACTTAAGCGCATTGTAAGTGAATTTATAGATTATTGCATTAATTTACTTACAGGTTTAATGTAATAGGTAAGAAGATAAATAAAAGATTATTACAATTAGGTGGTAAGCCACTAGTACCTGCAGGTTTAGCTGATGATCAACACGAATTGGGGTAAGCAAAAACTATTTTCATCTGTATGTAATTCAACATGAAAAGCCACATGGAATATTTTTGATGTTTCCATATAAATTTGTATTCGAAGTAAGATCTAGGTTTTTTTTATTAGAGGGATATCAATTAGAATTGGCTAGTTGTTGACACGTAATACAGAAACCGTTTCAGATAGTTGCACCAAACTAAGAGTCTTTCACACAGAATTAGCCAGTTTTAATCACTAAAGTACATGTATATCTACCGGTAAGTATATTCCTTTAAAATGACATAAGCTATCAATGCTTTTCATTTATGTTGAGTGTGCTTATTATTTTATAGAGCTGATGTAGTAATTGATCCATGGTTAAAAGTATTATGGGAACGTATATTACAGTTATTTCCCCTGCCTCCTGGTAAAGCTATTATTAGTGATGATATCTGGTGAGTCTTTCTTCAATATTTAATGTTAGATACTACTAATCTTACATAGAAATTGGTTAAGAGTCAATGTTGGTTTAGTTCGAAAGCAGACAGTTGTTTTTTATGAATCTTATTAAACATTCAATTGAATATTTTGAATAAAAGAAATTCTAAAGTAGTTTTTCCAATGTACTGTAATTGAAACTATAAAACTCTCACATAGCAACAAAATCGCCTGTCACTGAAAGTGAGTAGAGAGGTAGGTAGAAGAATCCTTAGAACAGTGCTTATGTAAGCCTGGATCTCAGTGATACGGTTGGGTTGGTGTAGCAAAATAATCCCTGTAGAAGCCGAATTGGAAATAATCCCCGGGCAATAAATCTTGACAAGGTTGTGTTTTAATCCACAGACGCCTGTAACGTCAAAAATATTTCAAAAATGACATCAAGATTAGGTATATTTCTACAGTCTGTTACATCCATGTTCGTAAGAGAGATTATTAAATAACTGGTCTGATTCCGATTTCTAACTCAGGGGCAAATAACTCGTCTGTAATCGATTCTCTTTCAGTAGATATAAAAATAACAAGGTGAAACCATTCTCTTTCAGTAGATATAAAATACCAATTGAAACTAAATGTTAATTGAGCTGAATTGATTTTAATAGAGATTATTTAAAACTTTCCTTTATAGCCCACCACCTCGATACAAGGTTACAGTTTTAACAGAAAATGGTTATAGTAAAGACTTTCAACCAGCATCAAACCCTAACTCAAATAACAGTCCCAGCCAAGAAAATCCTTTTTATGTGGAAATATTATCTAATGATAGACTTACAGCAGGCAACCATTTTCAAGATGTCCGCCTTATTCGACTGAACATTAAAGATTCCAAAATAAGGTTTCGTATAATGTTTTTTAACGGAAATACACATGAGATGGTGCAAACGTTTAAAATTTACCTGGGATATAATGGATGTGTTGTTTCTTTGAACATTTGGCAATAAATATGATCTTAGTTACATGTAGAAGACTTAAATGTATTTTTTCTTAATTTAGATACAGTCCTGGGGATGTGGTCATGGTGAAGCCTCAAAATCTTAGTAAAACTGTAGATCATTTTATCAGCCATCTTGGTTTAGATGGGGAAGCTGTTTTTTCTTTAGCACAAAATGATGAAGGTATTATTTTAGTTATATCGCATTAAAAAGAGAGATGGTATGGACAAGTACAACTTGTATGAAGAAATGGGGAAAAAGAAAAGCCTAAAACAGGGGAGGTAATCAAGAGGTTAAAACACTATAAAGTATTTGAAAAATATACCATAACTGTGAATGTATTAAAAACAAAGTAAGGGATTAAGTCTTTATTTAGAAAATAATGCCATTGCACTGATCAGTACAAGAAAGAATTAATTAGAATGTATTATCTTTCCTCAGATATTCAGCTTCCAAGTACTTTGCCAAACCCATGTAGCATACGTCACCTATTAACACATTATTTAGATATATCCGGTGTACCTAGAAGATATTTTTTTGAACTTTTGTCTTTTTTCTCTGATGATGAACGTGAGCAGGAAAAACTAAAAGATTTTACTACAGCAGAAGGGCAGGTGAATATATATTAAAGTTTAAATTAATTTAAAATTCTTTGGATGAAATTAATAAAATCCACCAGGAGTTGATGGCTTAAACCATAGGTTCCACGTCGGCCGTATATGCCGGTCGGGACCGTGGGCTATGGAAAATGACCGTAACTAGATCTGACCCATCGGTCATTTTGCACGCTGGGAAAATGGCCTTTTTTTCAAAACCTAATTTTCAAACATGGCTATGATCGACATCCACTATGTAACTATAAAATTGTACGGCCATAATAATGCGCACGTATAGAAGCCACATAATCTCATGATTGGTGTTATAGAGTTGTATACATAGTCGTCAGTAGATTATACTGGGTGTTGTGTTGATAATTAATGATGGGTGTCTGGTGGTAGAACAATAAAAAAATTCCCTTCAACATTGTCTGCCAAAATGTAGTTGTAATCCAAATGCACGTATCCCGTCAATAATCAAAATAATACCCCAGATTAACACAGTTCAACACTTTATTTTGGCCTACCGATTTCAAGTACTGTCGACATGAAACTTGCCATGCATGTTCCTTGGACAGTTCTGCATCAATTGATGGACTTCGACTGTTAAGATAAAGTTACAAATCCAGATGGCTGTGATGACATCATGCTCCTTGGATGGTCCATATAGAAATGAAATGAAATGGGGTTTAACGTCCTACTGTTCTGCTCCGACTGGGCTAATGAGGGAAATACTACAGCCTACTCTTATATCGAATTCCAACTGTCAAGGGATCTTTTACATGTATGCATACACAAGGACTCTGTTTTTCGTGCCATCCAAACGACTAGAGAGCTGTCCTTGTCATGCCCTCCTTCCTGCACCCCTAACAAGAGGAAACCATGCCGGAAAATCCCGATGAACTTTCTCAAGCTAACACCAGGAGTGAACCCACGACCTCTAGACTAAAGAGCCAGCATCTTACTCACTTAGCCACCAAGGCTTCCTGGTCCACATAGTACTATATACTTGTTATAGTAAACCTTATAAATGGCAATGAATATATTTGTTAATTTCAGCAAGATCTATATAACTATTGTAATAAAACAAAGAGAACGTATTTAGAGGTATGTAATTTTATCTATTGTAAACTGAGTATATTGATTCTAGACATTCTGATTCTTTGGTGAAGATATATCTTCATTAGTTACAGAAATATTATGTACTAAATTGTTCATACCTTTTTCCCGAAAATATGTGTAGCCATGGCAACAACATGTTTATCTTTTTTAAAAAGCTACCTTTCCCTTGCTTATTACCTATTCCAACTACTTCAAATTAAATTTTTGAAAAAAGAATTTTGAGTAGGCAAGTACAATAATTAACAAGCCATGCAATATACGCCCACATTTTGTAAGAGACGGACAGAGACCAAGCTAAAAAGAACAAAAAAAGCGATTTTTTTGTACAATCACAGGCCATAATCAATGAAATTAGGTCTGATACAGGCCAATATCAACAGGAACCGAGATCTTTGGGAGATAAACCTATATTTCAAGTTTCATCAAAATCAGATAAAACTTGTAATCTGTAGAGTGTCCAAATTGTGAACGGATAGGGGCGACGACAAAATAAGTCCACATGAAAGGGTGGGCATATAAAAATGATATTTTATATATTGATTCAACATTAAAACTTATCCTTCTCTTATAGGTGATGCAAGATTTTCCGCAAACTAGTCCTAGAATACCATTTGATTATTTATTTGATTTGATACCACCATTAAAACCTAGAGCTTTCTCTATAGCTTCATCACAAAAGGTAAGTACCGTAAGACAAGAGTTTTCATATGATTGTTACTCAACTTATCATAAGACAACATCACGCTAGCTGAAGTGGCAAATGTTATCAGATGTTCCAGAAAGGGTAAGTATATCCCACCCAGTGTATGACCCTATCAACTGGTAGGATGGTAGGTAAGAGGATAAAAGTTACCAGGGTCAAAAGAAATCCTAATTGCATAGGTGTAGAAATGGTTTGAAAAGTGACAGAAAGCTAGCCAAATGGTAAACAATTGCATGTGAGCGATAGGGGATTATATTAGGTAAATAAGGACCCCACCATCATTAATGGTGGTTCGCTATGATATTAGGGTCAGCATTGACTCCCATCAGCATTCTGTCAGACAGCTAGGAGACTGGAGTAATCAGTGACTCCAACATCAGTGTTATAATGATATACAAGTGTAGATACTGTAAGGTAATAACTGGTTATTCTTCAAGATATTCTCATGCTTTTCAGCACTAAAAGTTCTTCATCTCTCACCATATATTTAGCTTATAGGACGCCCACCAATTGTGTATTTATTCAGCAAATTTTATTTAAACCAACTCTGTGTATCCAGCCTTTCATTAAATGTCACTGCTAATTTAAATAAATTATACTTTATTGTTAGGTCTATCCTAATGAGATACAAATATTAATGGCTGTGGTAGAATATCAAACTAAAATACAAGAACCTAGAAGAGGTGTTTGCTCTACTTGGATGTCAAGGTTACGTCCTGGGGAGGTTAAAGTACCTATCTGGGTAAAGAAAGGAACAATAAGATTTCCTAGCGATAATGTACCTATTATAATGGTTGGTCCAGGTAAATATTCACATTATAGAAATATAATGGGGTTTAACTTTTCTGTACCAATCAGACTAATGCAGATGGGCATAAGCCATGCATACAGTGTGCTGAGATGGAAAGCTGTGTGAATAGCGGTGCTACAGTGTACTCTTATTTAAAGGGCATTATGTAAGATTTAGATAAAGAGCTGGCCATTCTCGCTATACTATTTCAAAAATAGATAATGCAAAATGAATATATAGAAAATTTCATGCAAATTAATTTATTTTGAACGAAGTTATCAATGGTTGTCTTGACAAGATGTGTGCATTGATCGTAACCACCATACTGGTCATTTGAGTCTTAGCCTCGCTTTTCCATTTTTAAATTTAATCATTAAATAGCCAAACCGTTCTAATCTACTTAAAATCAAAGCAATCCGATGGTATCAAGAGTTGATTATGGTTTTGTCATGTTAATAAATGTGTAATTATTAATTTATATAACATTTAAGGCCTAAAGAAAGTCCTGCAATGGGAAGACGTAGCTCTTGTATAATGCCTGTTTAATTTTCCAACTGTCAGGGGATCTTTAACATGCAGCAAAAGTATACACAGGACCTTAGCGTTTTTTTACTTATCTGAATGACTAAATGTTTTTCCTTGCGATGCCCTCCATCCTGCACCAAGGACAAGTAGGAAAATTAAAGTGGAAAATCTGGCAGAACTTTCTTGGCCAACAACGAGATATATTGCTAGTAAGCCAGCGCCATACATCAACCGAGATGAATTGCTAGTGAGCCAGCGCTATACATCAACCTTACGGAGGCAATTTGAAAGTGTATTTTATTTGCTTAAGTTTCACATAGGAGTACATTGTTATCAACCTTTCCTTGCTGAGATTGTCAAATTTGTCACAAAAAGGAACAATGTTTAATGTTTAATTCATTTCTTTAATGACTATATTATTTTAGGAACTGGTTTGGCCCCATTTAGGAGTTTTATACAAGACAGAATCAGTGAGAATGTAGGAAACAATTACCTATTTTTTGGATGTCGGAATAAAGATAAAGATTATTTTTTTGAGAAAGAATGGAATGAAGCCTGTAATAGTGGAAAACTTGAGATTTTTACAGCTTTCTCAAGAGATCAGGTAGGGAAACAGAACACTAATGCCTTTCCAATGTCCATATGGGCTAACATATCTGAACTCTGACGAACAACAGCAATTTTTCAGATAAAATATTGCTCATAAGAGCAAGTCTCAGTTGACCTTTCTTTCATAGGGACTTAGGCAAGTAAGCTGTGAGAAGATTGCTGAAGCAGTAGTTACTAGCTTTGTCATCTCATGATTGTAAGCTAGCCTACACAAGAAAACTAACATTCTCTATGGACGGACCCCACATTCCCTCCATACAGGATTTAAACTCACAATAGTTTTGCTATTGTGTCTGGAATTGAATTGAAATAAACTATAAATTTCTAAAAATCTTAAGCAATGCCTTTTGCGTGATGCATATCAGATATAGGGTTAATACAAGTATGAATTAAAAATGTGAGAGGATATATATTGTCTAATTTGATTAGGTCTAGCTGCAGTGGTTTATTACTTGATACAGTTGCATTGTGAATTCAACTCACAGTTTTTCTCTGCTATCGTCTCCCAAATTGAAATGAACTATATATCTTCGAGAAGCCTAAGCAATGTCCATTGTGTGATCTATAGGTTTAATGGAAGTATACAAGTTTACATTAACATCTTTTTCTACATGTTAAGGTGGTTCGGTACCACTGTAGCTTAGTATATTTACACCAGAATTAAAGATACCATGATGTATTTAAGTCAGTTTAGGACAATCTGTCATTTAAGACCTTATCAGTCTAATGTACCAAATTATATTAGGCAGGTTTCATTTATTTTTAGGAAGATAAAATATATGTACAGCATAGAATAACGGAAAATGGAGAATTAATCTGGAAACTTTTAGATGATAGAAAGGGATATTTTTACATAGCAGGGTAAGTTGTTATGTAAGAGCAGAATAATAGGAAGCACTATAACTCAATCGTGAATTACTTCAAAAGATAAATTTTAAATAAGAAAACAAAGACTTTGTTCAAAAGATGAGATTTGTCTAGATGACTTGTATGGCATTTAATAACTCACAAACAACTCACAGTATCAAGGGAGATAACTCACGTTTTTCAGTAATATCAATATAGATTTAGACCACCTTTATTTTGGCAGTGCATGACCAATATTTGGAGAATTAACCACAACATTTTCCACTATAGGGTCATTAGACTTCGCCTGGTAAAAATTCAAGCCGACTAATCCATTCAAGATTTGAACAGATAATTCTGACAATTCAGATTCTTTGCTGACTTAAAACATAAGGAATGTTCAAAAAAAAGTTGGGGTGGCCAAATGGTTTAACACGTGTGGGTTATATCCTAAGGTCCGTCATGAGTCAAGTGACTGGTGTCGATTCCCTGCTTGTATGTGACAAGGAGTAGGGTTAGCTATCTAACCCTGTGGGTTGTCTCCAGGTTCACTGGTTTCCTCCAACAGCTATAGACCCCCTACGCCCAAGAGAATTATTGAAACAAAAATTGAACCATATGTTAGTCCTGAAATGACCTAGATTGTGTCGAGTAGACGTTAAATCACATTTCTGTCTCTCTCTCAAGTGAAAAGCCCAGATAATTAACGTTGAAATCATTGGTAAAATAATTAGTAGTCTTACAACACATACATAGGTGAACTACTCATCATTTCTGTTACATCATATATATTTATGTCAGTGTGAAATGGTTTTTTATTGGTATATTCTGTTTTCAAAAAAAAATTATTGTTTTTGCAGAAATGCTAAACAAATGCCAGACAATGTTACATCAGCAGTAAAGGAGATAATTCAAAAATATGGCAGTAGAACTGAAGAAGAAGCAGATTTATATATCAAAAAACTGGAACATGAAAAACGGTTTCAAGTTGAAGCTTGGTCTTAGAAAATAATAATATTATATCATTATTATTTATAATTTAATGTTGCAATATATTTTATATCAGATTGTATAAAGATAATTTTATAAATAATTTTGGCTTCTTATTTTTGACCCAGGGTGATAACATCAGCCAGAGGGAATTATATCTTTGTTTTATGCAACTATTTGAACATTTACTCATGTATCTTCAGTTTTTCAATAGTCTACTTCCAACTGGCAGAACTGGGAAGGAAAGAGAGAGAGAGAGGGAGAGAGAGAGAGAGAGAGAGTTTAACGTCCACTCTACACAAACTAGGTCATAACTAGGTCATTTCGGGACTAACATATGGTTCAATTTTATTTCAATAATTCACTTTTGTAGGGGGTCTTTGGCAGTGGGAAGAAACCGGAGGACCAGGAGAAAACCCACGATGTTGCACATGCACAGGCGACACTACTCTTTGTCACATACAACCCGGGAATCAAAACCACACCAGTTGACTCAATGACAGACCTTATAATAGAACGTGCACACACTAACCATTCGGCCATCTACCCCCCCCTTGCAAGGAAAGAGCTTCCAGGTTGGTTCCCATTCAAATTAAGAGACACTGTTCCTTATCAGTGAAAAGCAGAAACCATGCTGTAACATCCTGGGGAAGGATCTTGGCCAACACCAAGATCACCATTAGTAAAATAAACCAGGCTTGTTAACGAATTGGTGTTTCCATTTTTCATCTCATTTTGCTTAGATTGCCATGTAGTTTTATATGCATGTGTTCTTGAATGAGGACGAATTCTAAAGCAGTTTGGCTATTTGCAAAGCTATTTCCCTTGACTTGGTCAAAATACGTCCAAAATATTCTATGAATGATGACCTCCATATTACACCCGACGACCTCCATAGTACATCCGACTTCAATGATACTGGGTATTAACTTTCAGATTTTTATAATGACAGATGAGTTTGAATTCAATTTCAATTAATCGGTTATGCACACAGTTATTGTCCTCGACAAATAGCTGATGAATATTCAGGGCAATAAGGTATGTTGAAAGACAGTCACCCAAATTATAATGACATGCCACTTCCCTGGCAAGTTATATAAATGTACCCTTGGTAAATTGTATGAGAATCGATTTGTATATAGACCAGAAATGCTATATTATATGCAATTTGTTGACTGCAAATTAATGTGAATACGATATCCGTAAAAGAAACCAGCTCGAATACGACAAAAAACAAATGGTGTGTGGAAGCCTTTATAAATATGCTTTATGTTTTGAATCAAAGCCTGGAACGGTTGTGTTGATAATTGCAATAAGGTCACTAAGCACCTGGCAAGGAAGGTCACGGAAAAAATAAATCTGAACTTTTTACTTACTTAATCTCTAGTCTTAACTGCCATTAGCGTATTACAGTTTTGGTTTCGTTGAACATTGGCCAGTTTTGGTGATTATTGACATAACCTTACAAGCGGGGGAATCAAGTTTTAGTCTTGGATCAGTGTAAGCCGATTACGTTAAGACGGTATTTCGCTGGTCATAAATATAGGTGCGATGGTAGGATATCAGCAGTATTGCCATTGAGCCTGTAGGTACGCTAGACGAGAAACAGTCTTATTAAGGTAGGTTTATTCTGGAGGGATTTACATAGTAGATTTATTTTGCACTTTTCAATGAATGGATATCTTGGAGATAGACGGGTTTCATCGCGCTGCCACCAGTTTCAGGGATAATAATACTATTTCTTTTCAAATTGCATCCGTGTCTGACTCGAACGGCATATCCAATCGCCCGTGTACATTCCCGCGACGCTTGCCATTCTGTGTTAAAATTGGAAGTTACTGAGGTATTACACTTAGCGGCATTGGCGACTTTTACTATTGGTAGTATATCCACAATCAAATTGGAAGTTACTGAGGCATTACACATATTAGGATTGGAGACAATGTATATTATTGGTAGTATATTCGGGGGGTTGGATGGCTGAATGGTTAGCGTGCGCGCGCTGTATCATAAAGTCTGTCATTAAGTCGACTGGCGTGGTTTCGAATCCCCGGTTGTACGTGACAAGGAGTAGGGTCGCCTGTCCAACCTCGTGGGTTTTCTCCGGGTCCTCCGGTTTCCTCCCACTGCTAAAGACACCTATGCGCAAGCGAATTATTGAAATAAAATTAAACCATATGTTAGTCCCGAAATGACCTAGTTTGTGTCGAGTGGACGTTAAACCCAATTTCTCTCTCTCTCTCTCTCTCTCTCTCTCTCTGGTAGTATATTCACACCCAAAATGTTGAGCAGGTATAACGGACCCCGGTATAAAAAGTATTAGTTATTATCCCCCGTCTTTTCAAGAAAGCTAGGACAAATAAAACAGATTCATCCGCCTGTCAGTCACACTTTTATTTTAACCAATACTTCTGCTTCTAATTATTCAAACATGATGTACGTGTAGTTGTTCATAAGATAACTGCTTTAAGTGAATTCGATGATGAGCACTTTCTGCTTAAGCTAAGAAAAGATAACAAATTTCATTTAGTTGAGACTTAGGGACTCAATAATTCTTGTGAAACTTGATATATAATTTCATTACATCTGTGCCCTGCCTTAGTTCGATGAAGAACGGTTTCTGCTAAAGTTATATTAAGCAGTGATAAACATTTTGATGGCTAGATCCTTTATACAAAGAGAAATGTGCAAAGCCCAGCGAAAATCATAGGTGATGCAGGACTGTGTTGACCATCAGCTGTAGTGGATGCATCATGTTTGGACAGTTTCATTTAATCATATCTTTGTAAATGCAGAACGGAATTTAACCATGGGTAAAACAGTAAATAAAAAGGCCTTTCATTATTGTCTGCAAGGCCCATTTTAACTAGTGGGTCGAGTTGAAATCCAACCCCATTATTAACAAGCCGTTTATCAAAGTGGCACGTATTATTTGTCGCGGTTGTTTGTTTGATCTAAACTTGAAGATAAAATCTGGCGGTTTTTTTTTCTTTTCGACAAGACCAACAGTGAGCTAAAACATGCCAATGTTTATTACATCATTCAGGATATTATATGTATATCGACTATTTATTGCAGAAAGACGTAATCCACCATGGCTTTCAGTTTAACCTTTCATAACATCTTGGATAAGAATATACGTAATATATACAGTGGTAACCAAGCCCAGACAACATACAGACAATCTACAGGTAAGAGCTTGTCTTTTGTCGCAAAGACTAAAACATTAATTGAAATTTCGACATTCAACAATGAAGGGTTCTTTTACATGTACGCTATCGTGTACACGGGACCCCGCTTTATTGTGCCATCCGAAGGACTAGACACAAGTCCTTGCCAGGTCTTCTGTATGCCCCACATGACACATACAAGGGGAAAGTACGCTGAAATTCTCGACCTACACCGGGGCAGTACCATTCCTAGAATCGGTTACCGCTTGACAGGGACAACGCCCGCGCCGCTGAAAAGGCAAGTGTGCGTAGTTGTTCGGATGGGAAGAAAAGAGAAGTCAACCTTTGTACATATTGGTTTGTACGTAAAATAACACTTAATAGAATTAGAGGAAGAGTAGGTGGAAACACCGTCTATGTAACCCCAGGTCGCCTTCATGAAGGGTATGACTTTAAAACCCTTTTCATTTCATTTCACGTTAAACCCCAATCCATTCAAACATTCGTGGTGGCATAAAATTCCATTTGAACAAATCTAACAAAGGACCAACCCTATAACCAACACCATAAAAATGGCGACGATCAATTACCACTATAACGTCGACAGGTATATAGACACGATTACCCAAGCTCGTATGCAGGATAGAACTTAGGGATGTATAGTCAACCCCACATGGCATGAAAACTGTAAGTTGTATTTCTACGAAAAAGTATCAGATTATAGGTTCAGCTAAATGTCCTGGACACGACTGAAGGTGTGGTAGATGCGTTCATAACGAAGTAATTAGTCTTATACAATACAATCTATTTGGAACTCATCCTTTAAACCAACCATCACCCAATTCCCCAAATTCAAATTACCAACACTTCGATTTATTCATATAACATGTCATTAAGACAAGCACCTTTTTCAAAACTAGTATTATTAACCTGCTCATATATATTTCAGAGTTCCATAGACCACCCGTGTATGATGACCGACCAGACAAAAAACTCTTAGTCCAATCATCAGATTACATTCAGGAATACAGATGTTTTATACCTAAAGCTCAAGCCTTTAGATCGCTTCCTCCACCGGAAGTAGATGAAATCGTCACTCGCTTACGAAAACCCACCCTTGCTAGCACCGGGGCGGGCAAGTCGAGCGAAGACCAAGTTATCGAAGAAAAAACTCTGACTACACCCAGATATCTTGGTCTCAAGACCGTTTCTAAAGCCGAGGAAGATCTTATTGTCCAAAATGTAAACCGACCAACGCAAATGAGCACTATAAGAGAACGTAGCAAGTCGAAGATGCCGGAAGTATAATTCATTGATTGAGGCCAAACTAGTTGATCCGAAGTCTTATCTAAGGTTGAAGTTTCGTTTCTAATATCCGGTGGTTTACTAATTTTATCTTCGCTTTTAGCTCTGTCAACTGTTCAGTGTCCTGCCAATATATATCAACATTCGTTTTATCTAAAACATTTAATCAAAGACACATTTCCATTTCTGAAAACTACATAACAATGACCATTTTATTTTTGACCTAAATTAAAAGGCTGTGTCATTGTATAGAAACAAGACCAATGTAAAGGGGAAGTGTTATAAAGTGTACATACGTGTTCAAGCATCACCTACTGTGTTTGTGATTTTTGTAAGTTTTGTCATTCACCATGTATGTTTGCGTTTCTGTGCGTGTTTTTCTCATAAACTTTGATAATATAAATATTCTGTAATTATAATAAACATAATATGTAGAATGTGTTTTCAGCATGATTATACAGAATATTCAACAGTGGAGTAGATAATAATATTATGTAAAACCAGAAATGAAAATTATTTAAAGATCCATTATGTAAGAGCTAAATCTACCTATTGCAGACCTTTCTTTACGTCTCAAATGTTATATGAATTATTGATTAGATTTAATTCACATGGCAAGCCC